ATATGTACATATTTGGTAGATAAGCATTTGATTTGCACCTCAGATGTATACATACTACTAAAAGGTAGGTATTTTTCCATCTTGTCTTGCAGCAGATACTGCTCTGTGGAGGTGACAAATGTATAAATCTCACAGATTTCTCAGGAAGAGAATTCTCAGACACTTTTGTCCATCCTCAAGGAAAAAAAAAAAAAAGGTATTCTCATTCCTCTGTTACTCATCCTGTAAATGGAAATGTTTCTTGGGTAAGTTTACATTTTTTATTGAAAATGCTGTGGGCCTTGTTCTGTGATATACTTGCCTCCCTTCTGCCAGTAAATCCCAGAACCATTGCTAAATGTTTTCAGAAGTAAACCTCATGTCTTATCCTTGCACCTTTCCCTCTGGAGGTCAAATGTTTGTAGGATGGGTCTTTAGGCAGGGAATAAGGGATGCCAAATTCACAGCTGTGCAAATATCCTGTGCCCATGTGTGAAGGACGCTTCAAACAGTGCACCCAGGATGTGCCAGAGTTGGTTCAAGATGGACCAAAAATAGATCACACTACTCCAGAGGACTGCCAGCCTGGGCAAATATCTATATTATCCTATCAAATATTATCCTAATGCGGATGCAGCTGGTTATTGATCTTAATGTGGTCCAATTCTTAAGGTCAGTCAGTGAAATCCAAAAACGTAGGATGCAATTAGAATCATTTTTGTTGTTCTATTTTCATCCCATCATTTGCACTTTCTACTTCTGGTTGAAACAGCAGACAAAGAGCTAAACCTTTATGGAAAAATCTGCTATTAAAGGTTTTGGTAATGATCTGATATAAACGAATATGTTAAAATTGCTAATTTATTTATAAACAAGGAAGTATTAACAGAGGCAAAAATCAGGGAGAAGTTTAAAATAGCTAGATTGCCATCTTGTATATTGTTTGAAGAATGGACTAGCTATGCTCTCCCTTGGTCTTGTTTGCTTACTCAGGTTTTGAGGGAGGGTTGCTTTTTAAGTAAATTTATCCATAACCTGGAGAAGCCTTGGTGGAAGATTCTAAGATCATCCAAAGAGTTATTCAGCCCCCAGGGCAATGTTTGTTTTATCTCTAAAAAAAAGCCAAGATATGGGATTATAGCATAGTCCCTGCCATAAATGCAGTGCTTCCTCTCTTTAAAACCATTGAATTAGGTCATACCACTGTTCTGTTCCTTCAACAAACTTTACAACTGAAACCCTTCCAAAAGGCAAAAAATTAAATTTCCTGCCTGAGAAGTATTGGGAGAGAAAATCTGCCTTGATTTCTGTTTCTCTTCAGAAGTCCTACCATTGGATACAAAAATGCCAATTGCACTTTAGTTGGTAATATTTGCAATGTGAACTATTAAATTAAAGATTTAATTCATCAGCCACTGGTAGTAAATCTTTTGATATTATGTGCATTACTTTAGAAACAATTTTGTAAATCAAATTAAAAAGAAAAATTGCTCTGATTATTAGAAATGCATCTGCAATAACTCTGTAAGCAGTTCAGCCATATTATAACTCCAGACACATTCCTGTTGCCTGATTGTTCCCTGTGTAACAGTGTTTGTTGTCTGACATAAGAAGCAAGCTTTATGAGAATGAAAGACTTGTCTTCTGTATGTAAAGCAATGGCCAAACTCGAAGCACTGCAGTGATTTTGTAATTAGTGGCAAACCTTAAGAAATTTTATGTAATGAAATGCATAAAGATTCTAGTGGGTTGTTTTTAATTTATTTGAAATTCTGAGGTCTGCATTTTTTGTATTGTATTTTGTTGTTTTTTCCTAAGTAGCATGTTATAAAACAGTGTAATTAAAAAACAAAACAAAACAACAAAAAAAAACAGATTAACCAGCTGTGGACAGTGTTTGGCAGAACAAAATTTTTGAATTTAACTGTTGAAAAAACTCCATTATGGAGTTCTGGACTTTTACAATAGAAGAATGAAGTAGAAATTGGATATGAAAAAAATGACTTTGTATCTTTTCAAGACTAGTGCTTTTAATTTATATGCTATCTGAAATGATTTTGTTTGCAGGAGTAAAACAGTAATATATGATCGAAGAACTCAGCTTTTTGACTCTCACTTTGTACTGGAATTCTAATTATTGGATATGTACCTAATTGCTCCACTCTGTGAGCTATATGTCATGAAGATGATGTTCTTGTTCCAGCAAGTTTTCAGCTTGAAATACAGCAGAAATGGAGGTGCAAAGTAGCATCAAAGAACAAGTCAAAGAATGATAAAAAGGTTCCATTACTGAATCTGATATAGATTTGCAGCAAAGTAAAAAGTGCTTTTCCAAAGCTGAAAAAAAATCCTAGATTTTCTAAAAATATTCCTTTAATTTTGATTTTGTGAAGTGGACTTATAAAGCAGACAAATTGATGTCCAAATCAATTAGTGACATAATAGCAGGCACAAGTGTGGAAGAAAAAGGCTATTTTGAGTGATATTCCTGAAATACAGCAGGTACTGTCATTTTCATATTGGGTAGTTATTAACATTTTTGAAGTCGCCAGAGCAACTGATCTATCTCTAATGTAATGCAGTATTTGGAATTATGGTGTGTTTTTCCTTTGTTTATTTGTTTGTTTTGTAATCCTGTTGTTTGGTGATGAACATTTGTACATTTCTTGGACTTCTTTCAATAATTTACTAGAAGGTACTTTGTATGTAGGCTGTGAAGGGCCCCAGAAATTTTCTAGTCTGGGTTTACTCAGACAAAGTGAAATAAACCTCCAATTCAAAGGTATGACAAACACTATTTCCATACTAGTACTGTACCTTCATCACATGTGACCTTACTGTTTGATGATTCGGCACAATGCCACAGCATAATTCAGTGATCCACTGAATATCATGATTCTTTCATGTGGAAAACAATAAAAAGCATATGTTATCAATTATACTTCACTATTTCCCTGAGAATTCAAGCACTAGAAATAAAAAACATTGTCTGAAGACTTTGAATTTCCATTAACCGGAAACAGTTGGCATAAATTATTTTTACTGAAATGGCTTACCAGCCCTGGATAATAAAGACAAATAACATTGGCATTTCGTTGACTTTGTAGGTGCAAAATATGTCATGCTCAGAGGGAGCATAAAATTCCAGGTTGGGCAGTGGAATCATTTTATTGAGTATTGCGTTTGTGTTGGAGAAGTCTGGAAGAATGCGTTTCCTATGATCTTAATTTCTACAGCATCTCTAAGTATCATGGTGATTTGTGTGATAAAACAAATATACTGGATAAGGAATATCATGAGCAGCTACAGTAAAAGTAGGACATAAGAAGAGAGGCTTCTAGAATAATAAGACTTTTGGTGTCATTGCAGAAGTGTAAATTCTTGCACAGGTGCATTAATATGTTGCAGGGAATTGAAAGAGTAACCTTTCATTATCATTTCTCTGAGATCTCTAATTGGGACATAGTTTTTGAGTACCATCCAAGGTGAAAATTCTGACCTGTATCTCTTGACAGTCTCTTTTGAACTCTCTCTGAGGGAGATTCATTCTTCAGGTGTATGTGAGTGCCTGTGAAGGCACAAATTGGTCTTAAGGTTTCAGCTAAAGAATGCACTTAGACACTTCAGAAATCAAAGCTGAGCTATTCAAAGAAACATTTTTACTAGCAATATATTTCCAACGCATGGCTTGGTTGGACCTGAGTTTTAGAAATTTCACAGCTGCACATATTTTAGTGCCTTACTCTCTGAGTATTTTCATTGTAATTGACTGTATAAAAGTCAGTTACAGTGCAAGAGAGGGCTTTTGTTCCTTTGTTTCTTGATTCAAGACAATTACTCTGCAGAATCAGGACTCATTCTGATGTGGCAACATTTCTGGTAAATTGCAATCAAGTTTATATTACACTGTTTGTCTTAACTCCCAGGATTTATCTTTATTGCCTACTATCACATTTCGTAAGTGGCTTTTTTCCTATGGTTTCTGTAAAAGGAACAACTCTATAAAAGCAGTAGTGTTTACTCAGATAGAAACTGAAGCTTAACTGATAGTAACTCTCAGAAACCTAAACATAATGCATCTGGAATTACCAGTGGTAAAGCAAGAAGTCAATAAAATGCTTGTTAACCAGAAAGGAAAATAGGAAAGTGAGTTAACTTTCAGACTTCTAAATTTTTTACATGACAAATAGACTGTTATCCATGTTAAATATGACTTAATCATTAGGGTTGCTTGTATAATTATATACCACTTAGTGTTAGGAGTTTATGTGCCTGTGGATTTGCAGGCACATTTTTAGGTTTATTAGGCAATAGTTATTACTTTCTATTTACATTCTAGAACTGGAATTGCATGAAACAGAATGGAATTTAGCCTTCAAGCATGGTGTTAAGTCTCACTGGATGGGTTAGCAAAAGAGGTGAACAAATTAAGTGTGCAAGAATGGCTGAAGTTCAGCAACACGAGTAGAACTGCAGAATTTTGAAAGCAGCAGTGTGGAAGAAGGAGTCAACATTAGACTGAAGTCTTTTATCTGTGGATATATGACAACTGTAAAAGTAAGAAATTTGCTGTTGATTAATCAAAAAAAAAAAGAAAAGAAAAAAAGAAAAAAAAAAAGCATCATGAGGTCAAAGAAGCCAATGAATCCTTGAAAACTCCAGGTGGACCTCTGTCGGCTTCTGTTAGCATTTGTTGACTGTTGCCGACGGAAGGAAGACCCAGCACATCAATATGAGTGAACAGTGAACTTCAACTTTAATGGATAGCTCAGTCGTCTTTTATCTAGTTGGAACATAATCAACTCATACATATTGCAGAAACTAAGTTCAGGATTGGTTAACACTTCCCAGGCTTTTCAGTCTGGTCCTCCTTCTTTTGGCTCCCTGTCCCACCTTAGGGACTTTCCCGATGGCCCAAGGGCATTGTGTCCTTGAGCCTGATTGGCCCTCAGCCAGCTGCATACGTGCCAAGGCTCATGTGAGTTGAGTACGGTGCTTCACCAGCCCATTGTCTCCCAACTGCTCAACATTCACATGTCCTGCCTCACTTAACGATTCCTCCACAGTTGACCAGCAAGGCTTCATTTTCCAAGTCTCTTGTACTGCAGTAAGAATCTTTGCTCTGTTAAAATATGCTATATTCTAAAGCTGTGAGAGTAACAGTAGCGTAGAGAAATGTAAGTGGACAAAAGAACAGCGTCCAATGTATTTGAGATGAACGATTACATTTGAAATATTGTTGTCTTTGCAGAGGCTCTTGTAGGAGTTCTGTGGACGCAAGAAGAAAGATCTTATCTAGAAGTTTGATAAAAGATTAATGGTGTCCTATATGCTGCTGAATTCCCTTTTAATCTATGAAGAAGGTAAGAATACTGATCAGAACTTGGCAAAATTAGACTTCCAAGGCTGTGCTGTAGTATGATTTTCATCCTTTAGTTATGGTTATTTGAAAGTGGGTGCATAGTTGCTCCCAAGTCTTATATCTGAAGCAAATTCAGGCAGCACCCATCCGAATTATGATCCTGAGTTTCTTATACTTGCCTGCTTGCCCAAAGAGCTATTTCCATCTATCCCCAAGAAAAGAAGAGGCACAGGTAATTCACCTGGGAGCAACACTTCTCCACACAGTCCCTTATTTGGGTCTGTTGACCCCTATGCCCAGCTGGCTTACCAGGAAGGAGTATTGCCCTAATGTGCTTACATTTAACTGGCAAATCATGAAGGTATAAAGACCCTCCATCTTCCTTCTTCTGAGAGATGAGTGACACTGGTCTGATGGGAAATAATGAATTTTCTCTGCTAAGGTGTTTGGAGATAGTGAGTTTTCCTGAAGTTAACTACAAATTATACCTACCTTCTCTGTAATAGTCTTAGTTTCAGCATTGATGGCCCAATATAAAAATGTTTTAACTGACATAGCCAAATTTGGTATAGTTAAGCAAACCATATGTATTTGAAAAAAAAAAAATAGAGTTTATTGTTATAAAATAGCATATAATAGTTAAACTACCATATTTTTTCCAGGCATCTTTCATTAGAGAGACTGATGACTATTACTACAAATATCCCACAGAGCCTTCGATTATGCTGGAAGGAGGGTGAAAATGACATGCCAGAAGCTACGCAAGAGAGATGATGCACATTATTCTAATTTTATGAGGTTGTAGATCTTGGGAAAAGGAGAGATTTATAACGCCACTCCCTACAATAATTAAGAAAGTGTGTGTATGATTTATGTGTATGTAGTGGGAAGATGGGGTAATTTGCTGAAAATATCACAGAAAATAGAATCTCTGAATAAAAATGATCTGTGCAATATGTGTTTTCTCAGGATACCTCAGAAGAACCCAAATATTCTATACTAGTCATGAGGTAAAAGTTCATTTTTCAAATTGAAAAATATCTTTCTGTGCTGCAGAACTCAGCCATCGTTTTCTCTTTCATTTCTCAGTGATTTGGTGCTAGCTAAAAATACATGTCATATTCAATGCCACAGAGCCTGAAAAACACCGCTGATCAGCTGCCAACATAATGTTTTATAAATCTTGTCATCTTAATGTGAGCAGAAATTAGGTAGGGATTTTACTTTAAACTAAGCATAAGCCTGATTTGTCAGGTCTTTTAAGTGTAGGCTTGCGGGTATTGCATAAATGTCAACTGCATATACAGATCTTGAGGTAGAGTTTGTTAAGGCAAGTTATTTAAAAAATATTTTTAAAAACTGTTGATACTATATTTTGTAATTTTTTCTTCCCTTCATTTACAATTACAGATTCAGTGTTCAGATGATTATGTGGAAAGTGAAATAGTGCAAGCGCTTTGAAACAAATATGAAGTTTGCTTTCTTTGATATTTTACTTTGCACTCATTCCAAGAACACATAGGGGAAACAAGCCTTCATTAAGAATAAAATACTATTTCTAGGGAAAGTTGCAGATAAAATCTGGCTGGTTTCAAGAGAAGGAGCAGGGACAGTAAATTAATACTTTATGTTCTCTATGTTAGCTAATGTCAGACTTTGTTGCAGGAATTCTCATCTGGAAACTTTTTCAACAGAGAAGTAGGTCTTAAGTTTTCTTCTTAAGTAGTTTCCATTTTCTACAGCAAAATCTGGATTTTACTCTTATTTCTTGTTGTTTTAGGCTAGCAAAATTCCACTAATGTTGAATAATATTATTTGTCCTAATACAGGATTTCATTAGAAAATTAAAAGTGACACCTTTGGGTCCCTTATATGTCCCATTGTTTGCATTCAGAGTGAACATCAAAAGTGCAGGTCTAATTTTTAGCTTCTTCCTGTACAGCATCAATGGACTACTTATTAATTTTGAGTCTAAATGTGAAAACTGGCTTCATTACCTTATTCAAAGTTCATTTATTTCAATGATTCTATTCTAATGGTGGGACACCCACTAATGGCAGTGACCTATTGCCTTTCATACATGTAATTATTGTTAATCTAATACTCTGTTCTTAAAGCGTGGGAGCAGCTAGCAATCTGGGCTCATGCAAAAGCGTTTGGATTTTATTTATTTATTTTTGGTCCCCAAAAGACATAAGGAAACAAAAAATATCAAAAAGGTTTTGTTTGCTAGCTTGGAAAAAGAGAGCAGAGCAGAATTAAAACTGTGTGATATCTACATACAAATATGAAAATACAGCACCTGAAGAGTCAGTTCTTTCTAAAAGTATTTTTACAATGTACTGTTTATCTTCTAAAGCAAAAATCTGTCGCTGGCAGATACAGATTATAGTAATGTAGCTTTTATTTTATTTTAATTCTAGTATGGTAATCTAATGCAAAAAAGGAAGTGTGCTTTTGCAAGTTCATTTTTTATGCTTTTTTCTAAAGAAAATAAACATCAGTAAATTTGTCTTAAATATGTGATGTGATACTGCCCAATTTTTAAGTATTTTTAAAGTATTTTTCTTATGGTTTTGCAGTGGAATTACTTTTTGTTCATTCAAAAAGGATGAAACCTTACGACTGCTTTACAGAAGTCTGCTGTTACTGAGGTCTGTGTTATTTATTTTAAATTAAGTGTTCTAATATTGTTCACAGAGAAGAAAATATACTATGGAAAAACTAGCTCCAATGCTTGAAACACATTCCAGATCATGCAGACGTACATTCCAGATCATGCAGACGTACTGCTCTATCCATATTTTATGTGCCAGTCTGACCACTGGCGTAAGTTACCTTATGCTCATAAAGTGTTTATTCTATACAAATTTTCCTTCTTTACTGTGAGTAGCTCCAAGGTCATCTCTTCCACTTTCCCCCAGATGTGGTCTTCTGCTGGGGATCAAAATCATTGAACTAAGTGAAGTCTAAAGACAGTATTTTTATGATGATACGCTTACGTAGATAGTTTTGCATTGTTTCTTGAGGCTTTTCATCCCCTGTTCCCCCTAATCTCAGTTTTTTACTCCAGTTTTGTGCTGTCATAATGATATTGCTGGTCTTTTCCAGATAAACACAGATTTGTGCCTCTGGTCACCTTTCTGGTTGCACGTGGACAGTACTTACATAAAACCACTCTGGAGAGTGCATTTAAGATAGACATGGGACTCTTACATGGAGTTTGCAGCTGAAGGGTTTTTAAATCATCTTTGTATTTCCAGGATTGCTGTACAAATTTACAAAATGGTAGAAGCAGCACATTATTCAAAAGTAACATTTGTATAAAGCCATGTCAAATGCATGCATGTTCTGTGTTTCAGTATGGCAGAGAAAGAGCATCTCTTCTCCAAGCCTCTGCAGTCCAGCTTTTCTCACAGTCATGTTGAGTAAGGAAAGCCAGCAGTCAGAATTACTTTGCAGAAAGCAAACAAATTGCTATCAGTAAGATGTTTTTGTTACAGGATCCCAGGACAGCCTTAGGACAAGAACAAGGCCTTCTGTGCTACTTGGAACAGGGATGCACGCACATGTGCATGCAGCTCTATGTAAGAAGCAAGGACACCAAGAACTAGTAAAGTACACATTTGGCCGCTTCTGTGAAATTGCACACAAGATTTTTGCTGCCAAGTAGTATTTTTTTTTCCTCTTTATGAATAAACTTCTAACTATTGCAGGTGGCAGACCCCATTTCTAAGTGTATATTTGTGTGTGTCCTGAGACATCAGAGGGAAATATCTGAGGTGGGGGATGGAACTGAAAAGAGACTGGAATGCTGTGCAGGTATGGTGAGATTGTTCTGTACAACTTCTCTGAGACAGAGAAAATACTAAGAAGGGTGAGGCCTGGGGGTTTGTCAGTGCTGCATGAATGTGCACTTGTGGGAAAGAAGGATGTCTCATTGAACAGTCACATCAAAACAAGTCTGTCTCATTTCTTTTTGTTTATTTATATATGAGTTAAAAGTATATTTATTTGGACAGCTTGAAATAAACTCTGTTTTCTAGCAGGAAAAGTACAGCTAAATCCTTGCGTACTATGAATTGGCACCACTGCACTGAAATCAAGAAAGCTTGTTGATTTACATCAGCTGTTGCATATTAACTAGAAAAAAAAATAATGTAGTGTCCAGATCCAAAATTTCTCAAGTCAGTTTTTTAGCTAGTATGTTTGGATGATAGAGATATCCTGACAGGTATATTAGAAGAAAAACCTCATGATTTAAAATTAATTTACCGTGCCAGGTGTTTCTGATTGGGTTGTGTGTTGTACCACAGTAATCTTAAGTAATGCTTTCTTCATATGTGCTAAAGATTTTATTATTCAGTATTGCTTCTGTTTTGAGTAAGAATATTGCTTATGCCTAATTTTCTGTAGAGAAAGTGTAGGCTATATATAAACAATAATTGATTAAGCTGGGATACAGTCTGAATCTAACCATAATATTAATGATACAAGAAGATGCAAACTGCTAGAAACTAGTTTCACAGCTTTATAGGGTTACTCAAAAGGACAGAAGCATTGCACCAAATTGACTGACTGATGCAGTGCCAAAGCTCTCAAAGGGCAGACCTTGAATTGCCTGGCACAAGACTGTTTTGGCCAGGAGTTCAGAGCAGCACAATTTGAGGAAATTATCTGTGAGAAGCAGTGCCCCCTCCCTGCACCACCAGTTCAGAACTCAGGGGAAACCAGAAGCTGTTGGCCTTGAACAAAATTGATGTAATTGGTCTCATCTTTGGAGGAATAACTGTTTTTTTTGGCATGTTTCCTCTTTAACTTGGCAAAGAGCAATACGTTATGGTAAGACCTTGTAAGACCACTAGGCTGTCTGTGGGTTGTTGCCCATCTTTCATATGATCCATCTTTTCCATCTTTGATACCACAAAATTTTTTCTTCACAAGATAACAGGGTTACAAATAGGATCTTTTTCTGCTATTGAAATGATTCAACATCCTCTCTCCAGAACAAGTTACCTCCTGGGCCAAGAATGCTTCAGTTTAGGTGCATGGAGCCAGGCACACACAGCTTAGAGATACATTTGCCAGGATTTGGCATTCATATTTCTGTCTGATTTGCCTCCAGTTGTACCTTTTCCTATTCTTACATTTGCATTTGAAATGTACTCTGGGTCTTTTGCCCATATCCTACACCTTAGGCAGCTTTTTAATGGCCCTGAAAGGTATAAAAGGCTTCTTGGCATAACAGATCATACAAACTGTGCTGCCAGAACTGACCCACCAGTGACAGCTACACAGGAGGTCTTTGTGCCTTTACATGTTTAGCTATAACTTCAGAGCATCTTTGTTTCTCAGCCCCTAAGAAAAAGGAATGTGAGTTTACAATGTCTTGACACCCATTCCCTCTTCTGAAAGATTCCCAGGAGTAAAAGAAGTCAAGACAAGGAGGGGTTTGTGGGGAGAGTATGAAAAATGTTGTGAAAGGATGGCAGCAGCACCATGTCGGAGAAGGTTTAATTTAAACATGCCTGTGAATTACAAATCGCAATTTTTATTCCCCAGGGTGAAAAGGAGAGAACTAATTCTCTACTGAAACAAAAGCTTTAAGCATAATAATCTATATCTGAGAGTAGGCATTGGGTTGGAGAACATCACTCAGCCTTTTGGGCCATTAACGACCTTGTAAACTGACAGTTAACTCTACTGTTCAACAGAAGTCCTTCTGACAGGTTGTTTAAGCTGAGCTCTTTTGTCCAACCATAGAACTGGTAGAGGATGACAGTTGTGGAGAGAATGAGTTTTGAGATACTCCACCATGTCAAGACTCTACAGAGTTTCACCCCAAAGGCCTACTGCTGTCGTCTCACAGAAGCAAACACACAAACAAAACCTAACTAATATACCTGGAAGCTTGGAAAATAGCTCGTGATTACTAGTTATGCAAGAAAGAGGGCATTGGAATGGGTGTAAGAATTTTTGGTTAGATGGATTTTCAAACTTCAAGGAAAAAGTTGGGCTTGCATTTTGATTAAGGTTTATTCTTCTTTTAACTCAGCAATGTCCTTGTTCCATGTTTATTTTGGCATGCAGCTAATTAGTAATATGACTCTTGACTGTGAGGGTTTATATAAAGTATCCCACATTCTTTAGTACCCAAAACTCTGACTGGTTTTAATACAGGTTGGTGTTACTGTTGCAATTCACGACTGAGCTTCATTTTGGGCATCTATATTTAGCTACTTAAGGCACTGCTGAGGGAGAAGAATCTGTCCAAATAATACATTTCAAAAGAATTCTGGTGGTGTGAAAGGCTGTGTTTATTGAATAAACACTGGTGGAGTAAATCAATGCTGGGTATAAAAATATGCAGTTCTTGTAAAGTATATGTTACACTAAGCACGGATATGTTGCATCTCTATTCCATCTTCGTATCTTAAGTGTTACAATCATATATGCTAGTTGTTGTGCACTTAGAAACTGGGAAAAAAATCTATCAGGTATAACACAGGGTTTCATGATCTTGTTAAACCAGCCACAAAAATCAGATGTACGTACAAATTTAAAGCAAAAGTTTCTCTCAATCTTAAGATTTAATGGATTCTTAAAATATGTTAGCAACAATAAATTCTACTCCCTAGGTTCAAAATGCACTTAATTGTATTCAAGAATGGCAGAACAACCCATGCTCATCATTTGAATGATAAATGGGATGGATGTGAACTCCTGAAATGCACACCGGAGTGTGACAAAATGCATCTGCACCACTGTTAGATGAAAACAGGTGATGAAACATCTCTTTCTAAGATGAAACAGCTCTCTTGAAGAGCTGCATATGAAGATTCCATTTCTGAAATCAATGAGATGAGTAAATTTTTATAGTACGAGTTGTAATTTAAATCACTATAATTTGATTCAAATCATAGTCCTATGCCAACAGTGATATCATTAATACTGTCAGTTTTTTAGTCCTTATCTGTATAAAGTCTAAAGTGGCAAATTCAATTCAATGTTAGTTGTAAACAGATGAGGATAACCTGAAACAATTCACTGGAAGTTATATATATGTTGGAATATATCCTTTTATTTTGTGTGCCATAGAAACAGTAAACATAATTAGATCTA